ATTTTGAAGATATCTCCTTGTTCAGTTTGTGCCAGAAAGAAGAACATGCTCTGAAAAATGAAATGTTTTAATCAAACTCAACTTACAATGTATAAAAGGACACCCTCATCAACATATAAAATTGTTTTCTTTCTAGATATCACAACATTCAACTTACTTTTGTTTTATGAGTAGCACTGCAGACAAATATCATACCCCTTTCTGGATCATCAAGATCATTCTGAAATCAACAAGAGGCATTAAAACATTGCAAAAATCTTTTACAATTCTCAATTCTTCATGTAAATAGATGGATTTCCATACTGGCATTACTACACAAGTACAGTATGTCATATATACAGTATAATCAGCTCACCCTCCTTCTGGGGATAGGACATCTGATGTCAGGCTGATCTCCCAGATTCTTGTATGTGATGTAGTTCTCTGAACAGATCAAGACTCCACTGGGACCATCACTGCCTCCAGGCACTATCAAAGAATAATGCAAATGACCTCAAAGTAACCAAACTGTATGCAACTGTCACACACTCAATATCTTCTCCAACTCAAAATTTTGTACATAAGAATCAATGTACAGGGCTCCTGACCCTCTATAATCCCTACGCAAAGTAGGTACCTTTTCCCCCAACTGAATAGTGCTATTTTCCCCATTTTCATTACTATAGATAAAGTTAATAACACCAGAAAATCAAAATATGATGAATTTTATTTTATTTATTTATTTAATTTTAACATACTGATTGTTCTCAATTTCCCTCAAAATGTTGCCATTTTCCCAATATCAATTGTCCCTGTCTAAAAGTGGTGTGAGAGCCTTGATGTACACATTCCTGTCTATCACTTTGACTTTATTGTCTTATCTGGCCTTTTATTTAGTTATCATTTTTACCAGAGATGAGGAAGTTGGCATGCTCCTCCAGAGCCTCTGAGTATTTTCTAACAACATGATTTAGACCCAAATCCAGCTCATAGTATGTCAACAGCTGTTGTGTATTCTTGGCACTCTCTCCAGTGTGGTCCATATCTGCCTCCTAAATAATAGAAAAAAATGATCTTCTTCAACATATTGAAATGAATGCAAAATTCTATAATTTTCTTTGTCATCTCCAGAAAACCTTAGTTGTTTATCCAATACTTTTCTTTACTATCACTGGTCAAGACCAATTCTCAGACAGTACCAATTCATGGTCTGTACAAAATAAGAGATAGCATAAATAGTTTTTTTTTTTTTTAAATATTTTTTCTGCAGAAAAACTAAACAGATAAAGGACATTATTTTAAGGAATTGCCATAACCAATTTCTTTCTTTTTGTTAGTTTCTTTTCCATTCAAATAAGAAATTCAAGTATATACTGACCATCTACTCAAAAAGAAATTCCACTTATACAAATGTGTCTATGAATTGGTCCTGTTATAAGTGTGGAAATAACCCTGTGTTTGTCTTATGTGCAAAGTCAATATGTCATGTACTAAATATTCATAAAACATTTTGCAGAATATATGCACGTATGTAGACTTTACAAAATTTTGATTTGACTCTGGAGTACATAATCAAAGAGGGAAAAATGCCCGAAAACTTATCACTACCCAGTATAGGTAATTATCATTTTGCATATACCTCATAATCAATTTCCAAACAGGCAAAAGTGGGATTTTCAAATCCAACATCCACACCGACCATGTGGTACACCAATGTGTTTGCTTTGTGTGCCTCCAATGGAGAGGAGATTGTCAGTCTAGCAGAGGCATCTCTGTTCAAAATGTACACCAGTTTTTGTTTCTCCACAGCACCTAAAATGAAGAGAAGGATTGTTATTTCATTTATATCATCTAATCATTTTTTTTTTAGTTATTACAATTTTCAATGTTAATTCAATTCCCTTCCCTAATAAATGAAGACATTTGGTTCAAAGTCTTTGGGGATCAATTTTTTACTCTATGTTCATTTATAGCAAAAAATTTTCTGTTTAAAACAACCTATCATGACAGCTCTGCCTTTAGGATCAACAGCTAAATACTGTCCTGGCACAATTCTTCTGCATCCACTCTTTCCAAAGGTTTCTTGATGAACCTGAACAGAGAAAGAAAGAGAATAAAATACAGAATTGTAAATGAATTTCAAATCATCGTCAGCAGATTTCCTTCTTCTTTTTTGAGCCCCTATTTAACATGAATATTTTACCTTTTCAAATGTATTCTTCTGTGGGATGTACTCCAGAATAACAATTCTGCCAGAATCAGATCCAACCACAACATAATCTGCAAAACATTGTGAATTTCAAATCATCATCTGTTAAAAAGTCAAGATTCTGTAGGAAAATTGTAGGGAAAAAATTACCAACTGTTGAGTCAGGACGTTCGTATTACATTCCTTAAGATCACAATTGATATTTTTTTGTGTTTTTACTGCAGATATAACGAGGTAATTAAACACTTATTGATTCAATTGAAAATCCCTGAATTGAAAATCTAAAGTTAATTATATGGAGATCACATGACAGTGTGATGTCAAAGGTGACAATGGCTGATCAGCTGTTCATGTCAATCTTCCTAAAATACATGTGATACAATCTGGATTTTTTGCATTATGGATGACCAAATCACTGATTTTGTTGATATGAGGTTGGACATCCAACCTTATATGTTTGAAACATATACGGCAAGAGAAAATCTGCAAAATCTGTAAACATGGTAAAACAGCAGATAGCTCAGGAGACAAAGAAATACACTTTCACAGTAAAATTTGATTTGTAATCAGACAAACGGATTGAACAAATTTTATGTCCTTTAGTGCTATTCAGTAAGTGTGACTAAGCCCTTAACAAAACTGCAGGAAACCAAAATGTGATGACTTCTTTCTTAAATTTTTTGTTATATTTTGATTTCCCATAAACACAAGTTTCTAATTTTACCAATTTTAATAACAGGGATTTATCTAGCTATTTTGTTTTACTAACGTTTTGATATATTAAGGGGAAAAATGAGAGCCGCAGGCTCGAGCTGAGTGCCAGAGGCGCGAATATGCTAGGGGAGTCCGGGGGCATGCCCCCCCCCCCCTGGAAAATTTTTTAAATAAATGGAGATTTACAAACAATGTTTGTAATATTCTCTGTTTAATTGGGGAATTTTCTATCTGAAAAAGGGGGAATTTTTGCACCTTTCTTAGGAGGGGAAAGGAACCGTTTACCGGTAGTAAAAACAGCCTTGATAAATCCCTGAATAGCATCAGTCTCTATACCAAAAAGGTAGTGCGAGAGCCCTGTAAAGTCATAAACAAAGTATAAAATCACATTAATTCTGTGTATATGTGATGTTACCTTTGGATCCACCTGTCAGTCTGAATGGCATTAGTGAGCGGATCATTCCAAACACTTCCACTGATAAAACAGGGTAAATTTTGCCTGTGTTGGGGTCATGTCTCAGAAGCTCTAGAATTTTGCCTCTGGAAACAATGATTTCCTGAAGCTTTGATCCAGAAAAATTGCCATGCACGGCACAGTTTATCCCTGTGGCCCTCTGCAAGGTTAAGTTGTACAGAAACATGGCTAGTTAATTCTGCAAAAGAAAAGGAATGATGAGAAAGCATGCAAACACTTCAGTCACTGTTGCATCTCCTAATACTATCTAGCTAACATTCAGGAATAAAGCGTTTTTTATCCTTATATAACTGGTACCGATAAACGGTACCATTCCCAATGCCAAAAAACGTTAATTTTTCGACCAAAAATTCCCATTTCAACTGCCCAGCAACAGACTACAATGACATCGTATTTCTTTTTTATATGAAACATTGTACAAGTTGACTGTTTCACTTCCGCTTAAATCGAAAGTAGAGATTAGTCGTAATATGGTGGGACCTGTGGTGTAGATAGTTAGAATAATCTAACTGTGTCTCGGGACAAGCCCTCACCAGTTAGAATACCTCCCATATTATACTTGCAATGTAGCAAATCTGAGTGGATCCACTCCGAAATGATTTTGAAGAATACAAAAGGGGTTGCACTGAAAACAACTACCGAATTAATCATAACAAACCTTTTTGAGATTGTATATGCCTTTTAACCTAAAAAATAATCCATATAAATACGAAAATTCAACTCATTTTCTCAACGTTTTTCCCTCGCTTCAAATTTAATGCCATGTTGACATTCAGAACTCTCTGGATTGTTCATAGAAAATGCACAGAGTTCGAGTTATCACCCGTGTTTATTTTGCTACATTGCTAATACACGGAACGAATTCTATTGTTAAACCGGGTCCGTAGGACAATATCATTTTAACGATAGAACGTTCTATCTATGGTGCAGACAGCGTAGCGTCATACATTTTGACAAATTGAAAGCATAAAAATGCAAAAAACAATGGACATTGATATGAAAACAATAAATACTTGTTATTTATTCATTAAAACACAGAGTAATAGGTAATGAGGTTGGAATAAACGCAAAATACGTGCCATTTGTTTAAATGACAGAAAATTCTCCTTCGTTTACTTCAATGCTATTTTCCCAATTGAACCGGTACCGGACCCTTTCCCAATAGGTAGAAAAAAATCGCTGAAATGTCAATTTTATTATTGATAATAATAACTGTATACGAGAAAACTCGGACTACATCCAACCCAAAAAGAAATGACTCTTCTGCCTAATAACATACAGAGTTCTCAATATATTCTTTAATCATATGTAAGGTGCAAAACTTTCTTCTCACTCAAAAGTTTAAAAGGCGAAATATTACATACCATTCAGGGCAATGAAAAAGAAAGCGTGGCCAGCACCTTTGTTTACAGTATTATTTTGTATGTAAAGAAGGTATTTGTAGCCTAGTGCAATTCGAAAACCTAATCACTAGAACATGCAATTTCACATACCAATTGCATTAATTGCGATTACACTGCCATATCAAGGATGATCGTCGATTTTACATTACGATTTACCATCGAACCATGGGTTATCGACGGTGTTTCCGGAAGTTATGCTAGACCATCATGCATTAGCTTTTCAAAGATGGCGGCGTCCAGGAGTGATGCCACGTCCCTCCCAACCTTCGATGGGGTCGAAAACCTTGTGAACATGGTTGATATTCAAAATGCTTTTGACGAATTATGCAAAGAAGAGGTAGTTTACAGAAAAAGCTGATATTCTATTAATGTGTCAAAAACGCTAGTCTTCTATCTGACCCGGCATAGTTCTCAGAATCATGACACTTCCCAAATATTTACCAGTTTTAATTATGCTTGTAAACACTTTCTTAAGAAAGCTTGGGTAGTTCTTAAGGAAGCTTGGATAGTTCTTATCCCCGTTCATCTATCTTTCAGTCCGATACAATTTATCATCATGGCTTCTATATGTTTAAGCAGTAGCCCAATTCCTTTTTTACATAGGAAGTGTAATTTAGGTTTCAGCCCAAGTGGATAAAATGTTTCTCAAAATAATATGTTGACGGTGCGACCGTAAGGGCAAGCGCAGATACATATTCAGTTTTAATTTAGATCTGACTCTTCAAACTGCACATGATATTAGGTAGTTAGAATAATCTAACTGTGTCTCGGAACAGGCCCTCACCACAGTTAGAATATATACCCGTAATGTTGCAGATAATTGCAGAATCGCTCCGAAACGATTTTGGAGAAAATTAATGAATTTGCATTGAAAATAACAGTCAAATTAATCATAACAAACCTTTTTAAGACTGTAAATACCTTTCATCTAAAAATTTAATCCATATAATGGAAGAATTCAACACTTTTTCACCAACGTCTTTTACTCGTTTCAAGTTTACACACCATGTTGACATTCGGAACTTTCAGGATTTTTCATAGTAAATGGGTCTGTAGGACATTTATCATTTTAACTGTAAATGCTTTAGATGCAAGTTTTTATCTTTGGGTAATTTCGTATTTTTTTTTGTAAGCTTATCACCTTAAATTTATAATAAAAGTCACTATTTTAATTGACTTCATGCAATTATATATAAAAATTAAATTAAGAAATAGATCTAATAACTTTTATACATTAAATGATGTTTTGAAAGTCAAGATAAGTGTATTTAATGCTTAATAAAAAGTTTCTTATTGAAGTCTCTATTGAAGAAAGGTATTACATGCAGGGTTGTGACCCTAAGACCCAGGAGCTGGGGAATTTTCTGGCCTGTAATGACATAATCCCCCTGTTACTCTGGCATTCCCCCTAAACCCTCTGTTAGGGGAGGACCCCCAAACATCCTTCTACTTTTTAAATTTCCCCTGCTTTTTCAATTCTTAGGGACAACCCTGTACATGTATTTGCATGTGCACCTGGTTGTAAATTATTTGAATGAAACAACCAGTGAACTACTTATGCTGTGAGTGTAAAAAGCCTCAGACTTATTTTTATTTGGAATTTACTGATTTTGCAGGAGGAAATGAACACAGAGTTGGACAATCTTTTAGAACATCAATCAACTCTTGAAAATAGGATGAGTGGTCTTCATAAGATCTTGTAAGTAATGAATTTATCAATTTAAGAAGAAAATTATTTAAAGGTATTTCAGCTGCATTTTTCATAGAAAGACTCTTTTTTTAACTGCATTTCCATCTATAAAAAAAATTGAACTTAATATGACTGTTAGTAACTCAAAATGACTGTTAGTAACTCATATCTTTTATCCTTCTAAAACATAACTAAGAATTGAATTATTTTTATGAAAGCAGAAAGATTTCCTGATTCATTATTTGTCATTTTTGGGGGGTTTTCAGACCTAATCTTCAGATTCTTGAGACAGATTCCAAACAACTCTCAAGTATGGTTTCCTTTACTTCCACCCTGGCTGAAAATGTCAGCAGCAAAGTGAGACAGCTGGATGTAGCTAAAGTAAGTACCCAACTTCTTATGTCAGTTAAGTGAGGACAGTCTTCTATGTTTTTTTTGTTTTTTGTTTTTTTGTTTTTTTTTGTCAAAAAAAACTCACTCCCACCCCCATCAAAAATGTGGCCATATCCTGTTTTTGGTCTTGTCAATCATTTCATGCTCTTCAGCTCAACTATGACATCACAGCCTGTGACAATGTTTCCTGAAAAGACCGAGGCAAAGGGAAAATCAAAGAAAATGTAATGAACAGATAATTCAATATTTTGCAGTGGAATATGGAATTTATTTCGCTTGTGAGACAGGAATTTTTTTAATATTTTTACTTGTGCTTCGCACTTATGAAAATATCAAAAAAATTCTGTCCCACTTGTGAAATAAATTCCACATCCAACTACAAAATATTGAATATCCTCTGTATGTATTTTTATGAATTCATTATAAGGGTAAAACAAATTACGGATATAGCGAAGTAAATTCACAGGTTCCCATGACTTCACTGTAACCTGACTTGAAGTGACTTCACTGTTTTACTGTAGAACGTTTCAAGTCTCCAATAATTTTTTTGAGATATGAAGTCGATAGGAGACATCAAGTATTGTATTGGTTTACTTATAGAGCCAAGTTACAGCTTGCATAACTCGAGTCGAGGATATTTTGGATCTGAAGTTTTGTACAGATGGGGTACAGACTGCCCTTCAAAATGAGGACTATGAAAAGGTACACCAAAAGCTATACATATAATAATTATTTTGAGGGAATTGTCCATGCAAAACCTTACCTTATCGAGTCTATGTTTGAATGAGTGATTTGTAGGTTGGTTAGAATGGCACTTTATTAGAATTACGTAGTGTGTGGAGTTTTATAGCACAAGAATGAAAGTTGGAATATTATAGTATCTTCGTGTCTTAGCCAAATAACCATATGTGTTGTCATATGGGTGTTCTTATGAGTATATATATTTTTTTTTTTTGAAAAAGGGCAATCTTGATCCTTAGATAAAAATTACAATTTATATTTTGTTTGCAATTTTATAAGATACTTTTTTGTGTTCACATCAGGCAGCAGGTCACGTTCACAGGTTTAGAAGCTTGGATGAAAACATTCTAAGAATGTCTGAAGAATCTGGCGAAGGTAGGTTTCCACTGAGCGAAAAAATATTGTGTTATGGAATGGAGATGTTGTTTGATCTCATATTTTCTTTGCATCACTTTTAACAAGAAATATGTGCCGAATTAAAACTGCACACACCTGATGCTATTCATATGCAGGCAGATAAAATTATTTATGAACTATGATTATATATTTATTATCAATTTTACAAAAGACTTTCCATGGTGTAGAGGATTTCAAACAGCTTTCAAGAGGGAAAATACAGCAAATATTTTATGCATTCATACTTTGCTATAGTGTCATTTTTCCAGCTGAATAACTCTTGTACAGAATGTAGATAAGTTGACAGATTAACAATAGATAATGCTTATAAATGCAAGAATATGACCATCAGTAAAATCAAAGCTGCATATGAATGAACCATGTAGTTCTCTGGCAATATTGATGTATTAAATTGGTCAACAGGGAACACCCTGGACATGTCCTTCAAACTTCTACAGGAAGCGGAGGAGAAGCTGAAATCCATCGTGAACACCAAGTTTGATGCAGCCGTCCATACGGGGGATTTTGCCTCCATAGAAAGATTCTTCAAGATCTTTCCTCTGATTGGTCTTCATGAGGAGGGATTGACAAAATTTGGGAAGTTCTTATCTGCACAGGTAAAACTGAAATATTTAATTGCTGCTATTTTATTTTTATTCCTATTAAAAGTACTCTTATCAGAAGATGAGCATTCATGAAGACAGTAATTTTTTTTTCTCACCGATTCATCTTGTGGGTTAAAAATTTACTAACTTCACATCTCTGGTGCATAAAATGTCATACGTTAAATAATCTTTCAGAATTTCAATTTGAGACTAATATTTTTTTTTTAAGCTTTAAATTTTTATACTGTGTTTTTAATTTTCAGATATCTGAGAAAAGCCGTGGTAATTTGAAAATTGCTGAATCGATGACCAGTCGAGATAAGAATGCCAATGTGGTTTATGCGGAGACTGCCACACAGCTTTTTGAGGGAATCGCCAGTATTATAGAAGTTAGACAACCACTGGTGGAAACTTATTTTGGTAAGTTCTTGTAGTGTAGAGAGAAAGATAGAAAGACATGTCTGTCTACTTTACTATCAGACTGAACATACTGTATAAGTAGAAATTTTAGCGAGGATTCAATTTTGGCATTTTTAGCGAGGGTGTTGAGATCACTAAATTTAAATATTGCTAAAAATTTATTCCTCATCAGAGGTTACCGTTATCTTTCTATACACCTTAAAAGCACTAAAATTACTTCTCACTGAAATGAAATACTGATTTTTAAGGAGAAATTGCTAAATTTGTGTCTCACTAAAATTTCCACTTATACGGTATTCCTATGCATATAATTATGATTGGCAACAACTGGTTTAGGGAGAGGAACTTTTTCATGAGGACTAATAACATCAGAGAGCAGTGCTTGATTAATTAAATATAAACATTCTTATGCTGACTTGGTTATTGATAATTATGGATTGACAGATTCACTTTAGAAGTATAGACATAAAAGTTTAGTAGACTCACATAAGAACTTGGTAATGTAAAGACTGAGTGATACAGTTGAATTTAGGTATCTCAACATCAACAATATCTTGAACACCATTGACATTTTGAAGTGAGTTTGAAATCCCAACCACTCTTTCTTTGTATTTTTACTTCTTTATTTTCAATCCTCAGATATTTGGATTGCCAAATCTAGTTCAAGATAAAGAGTTTTGACTACATTTTGAATTTTATAAACTACAGCTTAAATAAAGCTCTTAGAATTTTGTGTAAAACAGTTTTTATAGGCCACCTTTATGTTGTGCAGGAAGATGTACAGTAAATTATTAGTTAATACCTCGCAGAGTGCATTTGCTTTTTTCTTTTACAGGCTCTGGAAAACTATTTTACCTTATGAAAATTCTCCAGAAAGAATGTGACAGACAAGCTAGACAGATATTAGAAAAATTCAAATTGAAAAGAGATTTTGATTCAGTAGTAAGTATGAAAATAATTTTTTTTTCAGTTTTATATGCAGTAGTTTAGTGAGAAATACTGTGACTAAGTGCATTTTTTATAGGTTCAACATGTGCAACAGAATGCTGTTTTTCATCGACCTAATGCAACAGAAAAGTAAGTCACTTTGATTGTTGTTAAAGGGGGAAATCTTGATAGAATATGAGCTATTTTGGAGATAAAAATACCAGGATCCAAACAGAAAAATAAAACATTTGATTAGTGTTGGCAATTTTACACATGTAAAGGTTGATAAACATTGCAAGAAATATACACAGTAAAATTTACCTATGATAAAGTAATTGTCTGTTATTGCAACAAGTTACGTTATACTCAAGAATTCTTCCAATATACACTTACATGTACAGATGTTTTTATTAGCAATGATTCTGTAATTATTAAGTGCATCTGTTACCCTGTTAAATATAATTGCACTTTATCATTTTCAGATTTGATCCTAAAGTATTAGATGTATTATTATCCGAAATGGTGCTACTAAATACCAGAACAGAACTCTACCTACGATTTTTCAGGAGGAGAGCTGTGGTAAGTATTTTTTTTTAAAATAAATATTTTTACTGGTTTCATCATACCAGAAGACAATTTTAGAAAAGTACATGCATGGAACTTGACATGTGTATATTGCTACTGTAGTTTCTTTATGGTAATTTGTTGATCAGTATTTCCATGCAAGGCAACACGATTCACAAACCATGCTCTCTTATTTATTTTTCAACTCTGAAGCTATCAAAATTGTATATTTACTGTAAAATACTGGAATAGTGAATTAAGGTATGTCACTCGTCAGCTTTTTAGAAAAGTTCAGGCAGAACCTCTTACTTCAAAACTATTTATTAAAATTCCATTTTCATAACATATTTAAATGAAACAATGTAAATTGTTCAACATTCAATAAAAAAACTGCTAAAAAATTCATGAAGAAGCAAAATTTATGAGGGACTATTTCTTGTGGTGGAAGGATATTTAGCAGAAAATTCTGCAAACCAGCACATTTATTAAATTTAATATCTTGGATTTTTAGCCTCACATACTTTTACTCAGAGAATATTTTCCGTTATGATATGCTAGGAATATTAAATATAGGTCTTAATTTATATTTTTATAGCAAATTTTACACCTTCCCTCAACAAACTTTGCCGAGAAATGAAGATATATTAAAGAAGTCAAGATAAAATTTACACAGTTTTTGACCTGAAAATCGCGTATTTTGACCAATATTTCAAAATTTACATCACTGACCCCAGCTTTTTCTTTCATTATTTAAAACTACTCGATACTTGTGACTGATCAGCACTCAAGTCGTAAAAAGTTTGATACAAGAAAATATTTTATTGCCCATTTAGATTTTTAATACCCCAAATATGTTACTTTTTTAGTGCAAAAAGGTCACACAATAATTTACGCGCATTAATTTGCAAGATTTGTTCAATGATAAATATTATTCAAACTATTTTACGTAAAATAAGATTATATTTATTGCCATGGTTACATCTGATAAAATATGATAAGGGTTAAAGTGATTAACCAAAGAGTTAAAATTTAAGTGCAAAAAGGTCAACTTAATTGTACCGTAGCTCAGTCAGATGCACACTGACCCCCTGTTTTCTCTGCGATTTTGAGTCATACTATATGAGTACTTATCCAAAATATACTTCTCAAAAAATCCTTGATATAACAAATTTCACGAGTGACATACCTTAAATGATTAAAAGATGAATTTTCTGAAATTGAGTGAATGAGGTTAATTTTTTTTTTTCAGGGAGATATGGAATTAGCATATAGTGATGAAACTCTTAAGGGTAAGTACATGTAACATTGCATAAATTAATTCTAAACCTCAAAACATTTTGTTCCAACTAATCAATGCAGCATTATTTCATTAATTATATGTTCTATGTTCAGTTTATGGAAACACAAAATATTTTTTCAATAAAATATCTGTTATGGTTTTTTTTGGTACTTAAACTCTTTAATTTGCATTTCAGAAAAAGTTAAAGAGATAGATAGTTTTATATCCAACTGTGATTTAAATCGTCTTATGCAGGAGTTAATAGGAAATTATATCATGATGGAAGAATATTTTATGAGAGAAATGGTCTTAAAGGTGTGTAGCATTTCAAAGATTTAAAACATATATATATGTGAGTTACAACTTACTTATTTTTAAGCAATTTGATTTTTCAAGTAAAGATGATCAAGGTATTTGAGCAGAAAAATTTTATGGTAAAAATGTCAATTATCTATTGATTTATTTTACCTAAATATATATGTGAAGAATATTAAATAAATCCAGAAGCATTTATGAAATAGAGAGATTTGTGTTATATATACAATATAGATTGATGGGTAAATATTTACTTGTTTTAGGCTGTTTCTATGGATACAGAAGATGAGTCAACACATACATCTAGTATGGTAGATGATTCCTTTTTTATTGTTAAAAAGTGTGTTAGGTATGTTGTCATTGAAACTCCGCTTTTTATACCACTGCAGTTTACAAAAAAAAAAAAAACTTGCAAAACCCTTTCCTCATCTTGTATGTATAGTGTCTTCAAAATTTATGCATTAGAGAATTCATATAACCTGTACATTTTATTAAGAGTTCCCCAATCAAAAGTTTGTAAATTTTTTCCCCCCTCCTTTTACAGGAGAGCTGTGTCCAGTTCCAGTGTGGATGGGATTTGTGCAATGTTAAACCACGCTAGTACAGTGTTAGAGCAGGATTTCCGAGAGGTTTTATTCAGCCGAGTCCGGGCAGGATTTCCTTCGGGCTTTGATCTCACTCAGGCGTACAATATGGTGCAGTCCAGTATACAACAAGGGAAGCTGCAGAGTTCTGATCAGGAAAAGGCCAAGACACAATTTCTGGTACAGTGTATCATTTTTTTCCCTCAATAAATATTCTTAAATGTCTTTTTCTTATGCATTTAAAGAAGCTATTTTCTTGAGGAGGAAGTTTGATTTCTATTTTTTTCTTCCATTTGTAGGTTGCAATGAATAATGCAGAAGTCAGTTGTGAATATTGTAAATCATTGAAATCCAATATTGAGGTGAGAATACATATACACTGTACCTCTTCAATTTTTGGAAGACATGCTTGAATGTGGATAAAAAAAACTTAATGATGGATTTACAGAGATGGGAAATGTAATGAGAATGTATTTTGAGATTTTTAAAACCTCTCTAGAGTATGTGTTATCTGATTCCAGGAAGAAGTTCACAGGCTGTTTAGTAAAAGTTCTGAGCAGAGTAAAGCAAAACTACAGGTAATTTTGTCAAAAATTATACTTTTTTTAATATTCAATATAAACCCATGCATATTAAGTCAGATTCAGCTATATGATTAAGAGAAAATCATTTGAATTAGGAGTGGATGAATTTGAGTCATAAGACCAAAGGCTGTTTTGGTTGAGGCAGATTTTAAGCAATGAGCAAAATGAATTGTTATCTCTTTCAATTGTTGAGTTTTGATAAATAAAAAGTACCCAAATATGTTAATATCATAATATTTGAACAAACACATAAAATTTATGCATGTGATATTTGTGTTCACCGTTAGAATAGTGATTATAAATATTGGTTCCATTTCTTTCACTGTAGACTTGTGTATCAGATCTTGGTAATGTGGCAGTCCGGTTAAAAGAAGTGGTCAACTTCGGGTTTTCTCAACTCAGCAGTAGTGCCATTAAACCTCGGTTAAAACCCCTCACAGATGCCTTCCTGTCTACTAGTCACAATATCTCGGAAGTATGATTTGATGGACTATAACTTCACTTAAATAGAGTTTATCTTAATCATGAGGAAAATAACTGATATTCTGAAATTGTGGGGAAAATAACACAGTTGTTATGCAAGAAGCTTATTCTATAATGAAATCAAATTTTAGAGGTTTTAAAATAAATGTGATTGAACATCATCCTTTCTATGTACCAGGGATGGGGTCAATTACTTTAAAAAGTAATTAATTAAATTACAATTGCTTTGATTTTTTTTTCAATTAAATTACCATTAAATTACAGGTTTTCTAAGATGTGTAATTAATTAAATTACAATTACTTTGCAAAAGTAATAAATTAAATTACAAATTACGTTTTTAATTTTTTTGAAAATTTTTATAATCCTTGTCAATGAATATACAGAACATCATTCATTTGTATATAAGCTCAGCCTAAGCACAAACAATACAAGAAATAATATGCTATTTAGGCATTGTGTATCTTTGTGGTTTAATTTATAATATTTATTTACAAAACATTAAAGAACTATCCGAGATCAGTTTGATGCAGTTTCCTCCACACAAAACCTACATGTACATAAATTGCAAAGCTTATGATATTTGATTAAAAGTGGGTATTTTAATAATGTAAAATGAGTCACAACTGTAACCCCTCTAATTAAATATTTCCTTTGAAAGTAACCTGAACATCCTAAATTGCTATTTATGGTGAACATTTTTACTTCATAAATAATACTTGTACAGAACATAACTTTTTCAGATACAAAATTTATTCACTAAAAATCTGTTTAGATGTTAAAATAATTATCAGATTGAAAGATTTTCTTTTCTAAAGCTAGCAGAGCATTTTTAATTGAAATAATTATCTCATTGGCTTTGTCTTCTAAAGCATGGGACGAATATCCCTTTAGAGGAGTTGATTTGTTTTGATTGCAATTAACAGCTGTTATTTGGAGGGCAATTATCTCTTTCCAACAAGAGAGAACTTAATTAATGACACACATTCTTTTTCTTTATTATTGACCCACAACAAAGATTGAAATATAATAAATGTGTGTTTCATAGTTGAATAGCTGACCTAAGAAGGGGGGTACAAAATTTTGATAGACATAAAATAAAAAAAATCAAATTTTACATAATGATTAGAAAGAAACTAGATTATTATTATCAAGCCAATCATTTATTAGCTTGTAAACATTAACTTAAGATTTTGTATAATTGAAGGATTGAGGATATGTTTTACAATGAAATAAAAGACAGTAAAATGGGGAGGTAGTGGTGACAATGTATCATGAATGTGTATTATATAAATTATAAAGTAATTGAATGTAATTGAAAAAGTAATTGAAATTACGTGGTGTATTTTCAGTGTAATTAATTAAATTACAATTACAAGTAATTGAAAAAATGTTCTATTACAAATTACTTCCAATTTCTTCAAAAAATGTAATTAATTACGGTCAAATACAATTACTTTTTCAATTACCCCATCCCTGCTATGTATATATACTCTATTAATGCAATAAAATGTAAGAAATAATTTTCTTAGATTTTTCTTTGCACTGTAGGATGATTTCTCCAATTATGAAGCAAATGATCCATGGGTCCAAAACTATATCCTGCAAATAGATGGCATGTTAGCCACCTTTAAAGTGAGTGTCAAGAATTCTGCACACAATATTGATTAATAAATAACAAGTGCTTTTATTTGGTGAATTTTTGGTCAAATATTCTGCTTTCTTTTAACAGAGTGCTCTTTCCGCGGAGAACTATGACACATTTGTTGGTCATGTGACAGCAGAAGTGACATCACAGCTAGAGAAGGCTGTCCTTAAAACAAGTTTTAACAGAGTAAGAAAAGATTCATTAACTTTTTAAAGCAAGGATTATTATTTTTGCCTTCTTTACTTCACTTATTGTTAATGTATACATGCACATAGAATATTGTGCAGCAACCAAAAGTTAAATTTAGAGACTGGCTGTTTAAAATAGAAAATTTTGATTTCTGTATTAAGCTTATGTTTCAAGTAAATTTTCAATTGTATATGAAAGCCTCTCCTTTAGAATTTGAACTTGGATAAAGCAAATTATATGTTACCGTCATTTAGGGACCTCAGATTGGCATATAGAGTCTGAAAAGACTGAAAAGTATAGTTTAAAAAAGTAGACAAAACCTGAATTTACATTTTCTTATTTCAGCTGGGTGGTTTACAGTTTGACAAAGAGTTACGTGCCCTTGTCGGGTACCTGTCTTCGGTAACCACATGGACAATCAGGGATAAATTTGCAAGACTGACACAAATGGCAACCATACTCAACTTAGAGAGAGTAAGCTGATGCACACAGATATCACACTGTGTTATCTACCAAGAAAAATTGCATGTTTTTAAGACAATATTTCTTGAAATACATGTAGTACCATTTTAGACTTTGTACTTTTTGGATTGTTTCATGCGATGGTGATGTGAATTTCGGCATACACATGTACATGTATCAACACTACCAGTATTATATTAATTTATATTTATAATTTATGTACTTTATCTTTTTTAAAGGTGAATGAGATTTTAGATTACTGGGGGCCAAATTCTGGACCTTTGACCTGGAGGTTGACTCCAACTGAGGTCCGAAATATTCTCTCATTGAGGTAAGTTCTGCTGATTTTTAAGATTTGTTAGTAATGCAACTAGCAAAAACTGGACAATTTTTGAAGAAAAAAAGAAAAATGATTTGAAATGCAGTTGAAATTTTATATGTAAAGAAAATAAAATTTGCTTAAATATCATCAAGAAAAAGGGTAAATTGTACTTATATTAAATTTTTAAATGGATGATGCAAAGAAAAATATGTTCATGATATGCTGTTCAAGTTCAATCTGTCCATTGGACTGTGGCTTAGATATTTGCATTTATAAATAAATTTTGAATAATGAAGATCTTTTATCTCCTAGGGTGGATTTCAGATCTGAAGAAATCAAGAAACTCAAATTATAAACCTTGACAGCTGTGATACAAAGTCTGTGTTCAACTTCTGAAATGTGATGAATTCCATGTAGTATATTCAGAGGGAAAAACAAAATAGTCTGAGTGTGTGTGTGTTTGTGTGAGTCTGTGTACCTGTTTTTGAATGTAGGAATGCAGCGATTTTGTTAATAACTTGTGTGAATGCAAGGAGTGTAAATTATTGATTATTGTTGTCTTAATTGAATTGTACAATCAGATTTAGTAAATTCAACACAGATTTTAAGCAGGGTTTTTCATATCAGCATTGTATGGAGGTATGAAAGCATTGTGTTGAGAAATCTCAAGTTTAATGATCACTAGAATGTATGCATTTAAAAATATGTAACATTTATTACTTGTTACAATGTTTTGGGAACATATTTTTTAATTCTTACATATCAACATATAAACTTATAATGAAAAAAATTATGCTGAAAAATATTTATATCATTTATGGCCTGTATATGCATTTGTTATTTTATTGTGCTATAAACCAAGTCTTCTCTTAGTTTACTTTTATAAATTAAAACAGACATTAGAAAGAAAATAATTATAAACTTTCAATGTATTATTACTGGTAATATTCAAATTTTACTAGCCATGGAAGGTTATGATAAAAACCTTGTTTATGAACGAAAGTCATCATACTGTTTACACTGTAATAACATTCCTTGTTGCGGCTGAAGAAAAATTTTAAGTTATGTGAGTATTTACCCATAAGTAAGAATCCACATTTAACAATGTTTATTAAATGATACCGAAAAACTTGTAATTTTCCCTCACCATGATGAAGCCTCATGGACTATACCTCTTTTTCCATAGACAACCTGGAATTTTATGTCATTGAATGAAAACAATCCATATAAGCAGAATTTTTTCGTTTGTTTGTTTAGTTTTTTTTTTCTGTTATGCATTGTTATTTCTGCTTTAATCAGACTTCTAAAATGAATTTCATTTTTTTCAAGAAAATGGTTGTAAGTATTTCTAGTATTCTAGCATTTGATATGACCAAGACACACTTGAAAATTTCTGTATAAATACCTGCATGTTGGGTTTATTTTATGGAAATTATATAAGGGGTTTTCATGTATACCTTTAATGTATTTAATTTATTGAATGCAGTTTTAAGCTTGTTTAAATAAGAATAAACTGTTTTATGATTAAAAAATCATACAAAATTATCTTCCTTTCACTTTATCTGCGTACTCTTGCAATCAAATTGACGGTCCAGAAGTCCTGTTAGACAAGATGCTATATTATACTGCATGTGCACTTTATCTTATTTCTACTTAATGTGAATGAAAATCTGTTTTGGATGTATGGTTTAAACCTTAACGTCACCGACTCGCTGATACTCAGTGATTTGATATTTATCAGCTAGAGAAAATTTTCACGAATTTCGGTGAATGTTGTATATAATTTTTCATATACGAAAATACGGGAGATTGAAATCTGTTATTTTGTTAAAAATAGAAGTTTCTTCTGAGTCATTAGCTATACTGAGGCCTGTTCAACACAGCGAACGTTTGCGAGCGCTCGAACGTTCGCTCTGTTGAACAGGCCTCTGGTGTCTGTCTGTCTGTCTGTAAACAATTTTTCAAAAATGGTACACAAGTAGACTGTACTGAGATTCATAATTTTATATAACGGTTTTGGATTTTGACAAAGGAAGTCACCATGGTCACTAGTAATAGAAAATTATGTGAAATTCCTCCTACAAGTTGACTGCACAAGAATTCCTAATTTTGAATTTCGACAAATGATCTTGGATCGGTTACATGTACTAAAAAAAATATTTCCTCAAAAAATCATCCTACATTTTGGTCTGATTTCAATAAAAATTGGTACACAAGCAGGCGCGGATCCAGATTTTTGCAAAGGGGGGGGGGGGTGAAAAAATTCTTGACAAGCAAAAAAAGAAAAACGTGCTGATGTTGGTGGGGTTCACGTTTTCTCAGGGGGGGGGTCCAAAGTCATTATTTAATTGTTTCAGAATATACATTTAGTAAGTCTGCAGATTCCAGGGGTGGGGGGTCCGAACACCCCCCCCCCCTTTAGATCCACACATGACAAGTAAACTTAACAAAGATTACATGTATGTTCGTCATAATATAGGAATTTTAGCGAAATATTCTTTCAAAACGCTCCTTGTTTTCTACCAATTTGTTCTGAAAAACTTGTAACATATGTATATAAAACCTACGTGCACGATGTCCTTTAATGGATTTTTAAAATTCCGGTGGTTTAATGGTTAATAAAAATAGAATAAAGTATGGAATCCTTATTTTAAACAAAAATAAGACGTGACGTCATTTCGTAAAGCTACCTTCAGCATTGGTCTAATTTCAATAAACATGGTAGACAAGTGTACTGAACTAAGACTCTATACTTATCAGTGTTGCCATAACTATTAAAAACAACAAAATGCGGAAATCTTTCAACATCTTAATCGACCTACACCACAGTTTTGATTTGATTTCGACAATTCTCGGTACAACGTTTTAGAAAACACCAGAATATGTACGATTCCGTACGTGATTTATTTTTAAACTTAAGTCTCGTCAGGTGCTACTTTTTCTCTTTCTCAATTATAAGTACAAACCAGCAGTTTCAGTTTCATCACTGTTGGTTTTCAATAAAGTTATGCAGACTCGCAAATAAATTTAATATTCAATGAAATGTCGAAAAGTAAGAGGAATTCACTAGAACTGAAAGAAAGCCAGGATACTATAATGAGCTAGGCAGTTTTATAAATTGTCATCCACAATATGGAGAAAGGCAATGAAATCAAGAGGAAAATTGAATGCAGTTTTAGGCTATGCTGGTCGCAATCGCATTTCATGGTGGGTGAAAGAACCTTGATAAATGGCAGGATTTATTTAAAATGCGCAGAAGTGGAAATCTTAATCGGTTGTCTCTGAAGTGGATAAGGGTCGCAATGACCTCTCTCTCTCTCTCTCTGTGTATATGATGTTACACGTCACGTTGCCTTTCCTTAGTTCAATTTACACTAAAATTATTGATGAACAGGCTTTATATATTGTATAAATTAGTTTTGACAAGAGGTGGTTTGCACCAATTTGTACAAACGAGACTATAACAATGTACCGCAACAGTTGTTTCCAAACATCACGCGTTTTATGCGAATAAAGATCCAATACTCTTAAATATGACAAATTAATTATCACTTTTAATTTTTCTACAGCTATCTTTCTGACAAGCGTAAACTATACAATTGAAAGGATTAAACGGGAATTAAAATTTTAACAAGAACAGGAAGAAAAGGGGTCGAAAAGCCATATTACGCATCTTTTCTTAACTTACTCTTAACTTTCTTTACGAGTCTGTCAAATAATTTGATTTTATAAATCTACCAATGAAATCTCCAAATTTGCAATTAATACAATGAAGCGAAAATAAATAATTATTTAAGAATAAATCATCGCATCCCCTATTGGCAATAAAAAGTTAATCCCCCAATATTTATTTCCCTCTCTCGAACGGCCTTCAATTTCTTCAGCGGAGCTCTAGCACTCGCGAGCATCCTTTGAAGAAGAGGCGACCCATGCCTTAGAAGTGAATAGATGACAAATTTTCTGTTTCGACACCTGCACAAATTCAATTAAATTTGAAGAATTAATTTTACAAAAAATTCCTACCGTGCGGGGACATGGATCAATTTGCCGAGATGAGCACCCCTGCTTCTGGTAAGTGTGGGCAAATCAATTTCATGTGTTAATTTCGCATTTTCTCCGTTACCTAGGAGTACTCTTTGCATACTTTTGGATGTTGTTTGCTATGCACCATTGTTGATTGTTTCCTAGATACCAAATAATCAGATTTTTTTTCAGCGTATTTAAGGAAGTACATGGAAACCGTATTATTATTTCGGATATGTTGCTTTTAAAATTTGGGACTTTTGTATTTTGGATAGCATTTTTCATAATAGGAAATTGGTATTGATTATCACATTCAGAGAAAATAACATTTGATTTATTTAATCATAAGGCTTTTCATATTTGTCACCGAACAAGGACTCGTATCTATAATGGTTACCATCTATAATTAATGACTACCAGTACCTTACAAATACTGTAATTCGTAAATAATCATTGTTGATTAATTTTATTAGTTATATCCATTTACTTTTTATGAGAAAAGATCTGAGGAAATGTCTTAACTGTACAATGAACTGAAAAGATCGAAGTTTGTTTTTAAATTCATTATTTGGAATGATATAGTCCGTACTTGTAACATTTTCAAATTCCTAATGAAGTAGAGAAGAAAATAGAAACAACTTTTCATAAGAAAATGTTCTAAAAATATTTTAGAATTCTGTAGATTTTCGTAAAACTACCGAAACTACCGACAGTAAGTTGTAAGATCGTTATACTTTTTTTTAATAAAACATTGGGGAAAAAACGTAAGAAAAATCATTTATGGGACAAATATTAATGTCAGAGTTTATATCAATAAAAAAGTGTTAAATAAAATGAAAAATTCTCCTTTTACTGTAAAACTAATTTGTATATTCTAGAACTAAAGAGATAATAAAAACTTTTCAACGGCTTTCCTCTACATTAAAAATGAAATACTGCACGGAATGGCTCATGAAAAGGGGATCGTCACTAAGTTACCAAAAGGGGGTTGAGAGGAATGCCACGTGAACAATACCCTAAAACGCAAATCAGTTTTAATACCTGGGTTTGGTGAATTTTTTATGTTTACTCATGAATAAATGAGTGGGGTTCTCAGAGTTTTTATTCTACGAGTTTATTCTGCGAGCTAAAAGCAAGAATGTGAATATTTTTTTTTTCAACGCTGCTAAAGTTTTTAACAAAATTAATCTTTTTCTCCTTTTAATTTTTCTGATTATTCTTTTATCTTGGTTTTAAAGTTTAAATCTATACCTCAAACAGTAAATGTTGTTTACCTAATATAAGAAAAGGTGAATCTTAAAAAAAAAGACCTCACTTCTTAATTAAATTAAATAAATGTAAGCTATTCCTCCGCTCTTTCAATATATCAGGAATTTTCACAATATCTAGTACATGTATTGATATTCACTAACTGATGGCTTAGAAAATGGGAGATGTATATATCTAAACAAATATATGAATTTTGCAGTACAAGTACTTTGCCATTTTGAGAAAATTATACCTTATCTTCACCTCAGCAAATACATGTACATACGATGAGGATTTCTTAATACATGGAAATTATTTCGAAAAAAAAGTATTATTTGACATAAAAAATCAATATTTTTTTATTTTATAAATGTTTCAAAAATGACTTCTTGAATGTAAAGAATTGTCAATATGATGTTATTCCATATTAGTCATCTGTAAACCATTCAGTGCAGTTCCCTAAGGATGTGTTCATGAAAGTCTATTTCAAACGACAAGAAAGTCTAATCAAATTTAACAATTGTGTATTTCTTAATCTGTACGTCTTTACAAACCCAGGATCCCATATTACGCCACCTCCGGGAAGATTTCATGGCGACTTTCTGGAAAATGAAAGACCATCCTTAAAAGACCCCAACATCGGAGAGTTCAATAGCGGACTATCCTCAAAACGCGGACATGATGAAGAAACGAATTTGGGTTTGTACACAAAATTATTGAAAGATAATGAATGTTTGAATTAAATAGCTGTAACTTTTTTCCTGGAGTTTTCTCCTTAAATTTTTTTTATCTTTTAGGGAACTTCCACCGGCTTCGCAACTGTTCAAAATCCCATTCCACTCCTGCTGCGCTGAAGTGGTACGCATCTATAGAATTTCAATTGCAATTAATTTGCTTTCCCTAATTATTTAAATCCAAAGAGCTCACAGAGAAAACAATTCCTATTTCTGATTCAGGCTGGATGAAAATTACGAGATAGCAGAGGCAGTCTGCATCCCCAGATGCACCCTGTACTGCCACTACCTGGATTACTGCGAGACTAACGACACACAACCAGTCAATGCTGCCAGCTTTGGAAAGGTTTGTCCAGCTTTTGCATTAAATTTCCTGCAATAACCAACTGCGTTGTCTTTTTCTTTTCCCACTGTTTCCAATTTTTTGAGATTCATATTATATATTTGTAGATAATTCGGCAACAGTTTCCTCAAATCACAACGCGGCGGCTTGGAACAAGAGGACAATCAAAGTATGCTAATTTTTTGATTCCCCGCAGTGTAGATTAAGCTCTATGAACAAGGTAGGCCTGATTCAGAACCGTTTTGCATTTCAGGTATCACTACTATGGCATTGGTGTGCGGGAAACGTCAAAGTATTTTGAGGTTATATTTTCCTCTAAAGGAGCACAGAGGTACAGAAGAATACAAGTAAATTATCTTGTTTAATTTCTGATTTTTAAGTCTTTCCAGAAAAACAAGTGGGAAAAGGTATATTGAATGAATTTTTTTCAGTTCAGGCGAGGGAAAAAAGGAAAACGTAAAACAGGTCAGTGATTTTAATTCTATTTTATTTTATTAGATATAAATCATAAAAATAAGAGGTCAACATTACCGCTACATTGCGAAAAATTTCGGGTGCGTATCATTACCGCTACATTTTCAAAATTTTCATTACCGCTACATGCACGTTACCGCTACAAGAAAGGAAACATCACCGCTACATTTAAAAGTATACATTTCCGCTACATTGCCTCTTTCGTTAGCCAGCGGCTTATGCATGTACAGGTTAACAAAAAAAGAACAAAATAATACATGCATTCTAGGCCTGTTTCCCCTGTTCACCACGGGGAAGTGAAAGTAAGACTTTGAGCAGGATGTTTTTTTCCCTCAATTTTTTATTTAAAATCTATTTTATTTAATAAAACATTTTAGAAAGTTTTATGACCGAGCTTTGTTCATGGATAAAACACACAGTCTTTTCATAATTGGTAGAGTTTTTATGGCCATTTGCTTGACGTATACTGCTTTCTGGAAATCTCTTGTAATGGATCATAATGAATAAACTTTATATTCAATGGCATTGCTGGCTGATTCGATATGTAGCGGTAATGACTACTAATCGACAATAGTCTTATTGATAAAATGTAGCGGTAATGGTGGGAGGTCAACATTACCGCTACATTGCGAAAAATTTCAACTCATTACCGCTACATTTCTCCGAAATTTCGGGTGATCATTATCGCTACATTTTATCAATAAGACTATTGCCGATTGCAAGTCATTACCGCTACATATCGAATTAGCCAGCAATGCCGCGGAATATAAGTTATATTTATTATGATTCATTAGAGATTTCCAGATAGCAGTACGTCAAGCAAATGACCTACAAAGCTCTACCAATTATGTAAAAACTGTATGTTTTATCCATGAACAATGCTCGGTTTGAAAACTTTCTAAAATGTTTTATTAAATAAAATAGATTTTAAATTTAAAAAATGAAGAAAAAAAACCATCCTGCTCAAAGTCATACTTTTACTCCCCGTGTTGAGCAGGGGAAACATGTCTTATGCATGTATTGTTCCATACTTTTAATCAACCTGTACATCCACAAGCCGCTGGCAAGTAGATCGAGGCGATGTAGCGGTAATGTATACTTTTAAATGTAGCGGTAATGTAACCTTTTTTGTAGCGGTAATGAGTATGTAGCAGTAATGACAATTTTAGTTTAAGCCATATTTTATTTGAAAATGACAAGCAGAAGATACAGATACGTAGTACGAAAAAAATCTAAAAGGATTCGGAAACTAGTTTGAAAACTTATACTAATCCGTTTCCTTATTATTATGATAAAGATGACAGACCCTTATTAGATAGCTACATAACACGGTTTGAAGCTGCTTAAAAAAATATTTGAAATTGACATACATGTTAAGTTAGAAATCACGTCGATTCACACAATTTTCAATTGACAATTTTGAAAATGTAGCTTTAATGATACGCATCCGTAATGATCACCCGACATTTCGAAGAAATGTAGCGATAATGAGTTGAAATTTTGGGATATCAACATTACCGCTACATTGCGAAAAATTTCAACTCATTACCGCTACATTTTCTCAAATTTTCGGGCGATCATTACCGCTACATTTTATCAAAGGGATTAATGCCGACAACAACTCCTTACCGCTACATACCGAATCGGCCAACAATGGGACGGGTATGAGTTCCATTCAATAGAATTCACTCACCATGTAGTGAAGTACAATTTGGATCTGAATTCTTATCAAAATGAGTATATTTAAGTCTGTAGTCGAGTTAGCGTCAGATGAATGTCATGGCTACTATTGAGAAATTTGGGACAAATAAAAAATTAAAATAAAACCCATCCTGCTCAGTCCTACTTTCACCTCCCCGTGGTGAGCAAGGGCAAAGGTCTTATGCATGTATATATATGTTGTACTATACACGCATAAGACGCTGGCTAACGAAAGAGACAATGTAGCGGTAATATATCCTTTTTGTAGCGGTAATGACAATTTTGAAAATGTAGCGGTAATGATACGCACCCAAATGAGAGAAGAGGCCAGCATTGCACAAACTCCCCATACAAAAGCTCCTTAATTCTGTTTTTTCTATTGAATATTCATGGTCCAGAAAAAGTACCAATATCCTTCAGTCAGATGCACAGTAACCACACTTTTGTGGTCATGGTGCTCATTTGTTTTTTATTTTGAAAATAAACATAATGTATATCATCGTACAGTTATTTGTCTCAATTTCAAAGTAAACAAAATATTCCTTTCCGATTTTTTTTTTGCATGAATCAATTTATATATTTAAATCAGATTGTTGCCTACTCACCTCGGTCCAAACTCGGTACCTTGCTACCAGATTTTCCAGATATCAAAGACATCAAACTACCAGACACTGTAGCCGAAGACAAGGTTTGGAACAAAATAAAGATATGGGTCCATTTTAAAGATTTAAGGTTTATTATAAAACATTATATTTTCATATGCTGTTACTTGAAATAAGACATTTGTACATCATGGTGAAATAGAAAATCACTTTATTTTTAATAATTCATGTATTTTAGGTTGTGACCTTTATGATGATGTATAGAACACATTGCCAGAGAATACTCGATACTGTCATTAGAGCTAATTTTGACGAGGTAAACCGACTTGCTCACCTCAGTATATCACCTCACACACTCCTCAAATCTTCTTTTGTAGAAGTAATGATAAAACCAACACAGTAAGAGCTGCTAGATGAGGGGTGTAATGATATCTAGATACTGCAAAAGAGGACACTACAATGCAATTTTACAACTATATTGCAATACATGTATTTTTTATCGTAGTGCAATTAGATATTTTCTGAAAGTTTATGACAAAAGATCCATGATGAGTATCAATTAAACGTCACGATTATATTTAATTTTAAACATTTGCAAGTTGTTATGAATTAAACGACCCGAAATTTTAATTTTTATCACGGTTAACCCATTCAATGAAACGGTTCCAGGAGTAGAATATAATTTTCTTTTTTTTTAAAAAAAACATAATCCAATACCGGTATATAAAAACAATACGCCCAGGACCTTGAAACCTCTTAAAGTTAAGTCAAAATCTTTAGGTTTTACTAAAATGTTTAAGAAGACAAACAGACCAAAATTAAAATATTTTTCAATATTGCTTATAAAAAGTGATTGTTATCTGCAAATTTAGATTTTTTTTCAACAATTGTTAAACATGTACATTTTACAGGTAATTGAAAATTTGACTTAAGTATCAGTCTGCTTGAAGCCAAGTTTATTAAGCAAATGTATCTTGGTTCAAGAAAACAATGATAGGAATTTATTCAATCTTTGTTCATCTTATAATGGGTAAAGTGCTTCATAAATCAATACAATACAATGTGTATTATATTATAGAAAAATAGGGAATATTGCAATATGTATAATGCAATGTGATTTTCATGGCAACACTACACCTCAAGTTGCAAGAGAGAAAAATCTTTTTGCTTACTATCTATCAAATAATACTATACTAAGTATATAAGAATGCATAATTATTTTTTATTCAGGTTCAGAGTTTCCTCCTTCACTTTTGGCAAGGCATGCCGGGACATATGATGGCAGTCCTGGATTCGCAGACGATAGTTCTGTTGGTGGGAGTCTGTGACACCATGTTGTACAAAGCCATCGCTAATGTCCTCATGCCGACTGTCCTCCAAGCCCTACCAGAGAGGTAAATGTGAAGGTTTTTATTTTATTTCCATCTTTTAGTTCCTCAGGGACGCCAAACTCTTCTGTTCTTTTGCATTTTCATTTCTTTGTCTGTTTAAAGCTGTTTTTCTTAGAACTGTTCTTCGCTATTTCTATTATTTGTTATATTTGATTTAGAAATATCACTAAACTTTATATATTGGAATGTCATCATTTCTTTCACTGCTCACCTTCCAGGATTTACAAACCTTCATATTCCACAACATTTATCTTTATCGTTTGTGGGAATTTTTAACTTGTCATTTCTCGTCTGATCTTTCATTGATATATTGTCTCTGAAGGTTTTCATGTGGACTCAAAAAAACCCAGCTTTATATTTCAGTCTGATACAAGTTATCAAGAAATTTTCAAAACAACTGGACGAATGGTTAAAGATTGCGCTAGAGTCCTTACCAAATGGAGTCAGGAAAATGAAATTTGACCGTTAGTATTCGAAAACTTCGTACATTTTTATTTTTTCGATATATATATATATATTGTTAAAAAGGATTATAAGAATCGAACAAATTCAATGAATATTTACTTTAATTAATACCCGTATAAACCTTATATTCTTTATTTTTCATAACTTTGATATCTTATTAAAATTAAATTAATAATTTCTTTAAATCATCGCGAGACAATCCTCATTTGGGTGCATTAAAAAGACACAGAAAAATGATAAAACACAAATTATGGACACGATGGAAAGAAACAGTCATATAGTTATTCAAACAATGACCATGTTTTCTTATCCAGTAGCCCGTCGATTTGCTCAAGTTCTTCGACGTCAAACCTCCCTGAATCACCTCTGCCAGGCGGCGCGGACCGTGGTCCACAGCCCCGACATCTCCTCCCAGATGTTGGAGGATTGGATCAGCGTTGACCTCAACAGTATCATCAAACAGACTATGTACACCATGGAGAGTTATAACGAGAAGGTTACAGAAACTATTGCCAATCGTAAGACTTTGTTTATCATTACATAATTGAGGTCGGGTAATCAGTCTGTGAAATTCTTACTTCCTTTCAACCTTTATTTTTTTTTAAGAAAAAAAGTTGTTTATATACATATATGAAGTGTAGTAAAGGTTTAATGATGATTTTTGGAACGCCGATGTTTTATTTCATCAACAATCCTTAATTTCGTTCGTGATGATTAATTGGGGATGCGTGCTTTCTTAACGTCTTAGCATGATACTAGTATTTTCTTTAAAAAAATTATCCCTGTATACATCCAACAGTGACGTAATGTTGTTTATTTATATAATTACTTAAATTTTATTTTTAAAAAAGTTTGCTGTGAATTTGAACAACTCTTGGAAGACCAAGCACCTTTGCAGTCCTATGTAGAATGGCTGGATAACATGGTCGATAAATGTGTGGTCCAGGTTAGTATATACTTCACTGATCACATACTCGTATTCTGTTGATTTCCTTAGACCATTATTTACATTTTTCACTGTATGTCATTTTAGTATGCCAAGAAAAGACCCGGTTCTCTGCGAAGAACGGCTCGACAGTTCTTGCTGATGTGGTCTTGTTTTGGAACCAGAATCATTCGAGACATGACGTTGCACAGCGCTCCAAGCTTCGGTAAGTTTAATTCTTAAACTTAATTTTAATGACTAAAATGAATCAATTACCAATTTTCACCATATTTTTGATAAATATTAGCACACATCTGTTTCATATTTGGATATTTTATTAGAAAAAGATGTTAATGGTAATCTAACAACAAAGCTTTATGATAAACGTGATGACTTTAACTTTTCAATCGTCAACTTCCCTTATTTATGCATCAATATACCCTTATCACCTGCATACGGGGTTTATATCTGTCAGTTGATTCGATACGCAAGAGCATGCTCTACGTATGAACAATTTCTAAAACGAGGTAAATTATTGATAAACAAATTGATGAAACAAGAATATCAACAGTCTCGTTTAAAGTCATCATTTTGTAAGTTCTATGGTCGATACAATGACCTTGTCAGCAAATACAATTTATCATTGCGTCAAATGCTGACTGACGTTTTTCATACTAAATGTTAGGCCATTATTTACACACTGAATTGCCGACGGATTTTTCCGTTATTTCCCGATCATGACAAGGAGCACACGGCGGGTGTGACCGGTCGGCAGGGGATGCTCACTCCTCCATGGCACCTGATACCACCTCTAATGTTTTGGAGGTCCGTGTTTGCTCTGCACCTATTTTGTAATGTTTACTGGACTCTTGAGCTCGAATACTGTTCGTTATCTCCACATCATTCACCATAGTATTAGGATCATCAACTTATATCTTTTAAAAGAACGAGTGTCGCCCGCGTGGCGCAGTGGTTTAGAGAGTTTGCTGTAGAGTCGCGAAGTAAGGAGCTGGAGCTGATCCTTACGTCGCGGTTCGAATCCACTGCAGGACGTGGAGACCGGTCCTTCGGATGAGACCGTATAAACCGAGGTTCCGTGTCGCAGTAGGTCTTGGCACAAAAAAGATTCTTCACTGTTCAATGGTCCTAAGTGCCGAGCATAGGTATAAATTTGCAGCCCTCCACCGGCAAGTGGTGGAGTCTCCATATAAGTGAAAAATTCTAGAGGAACGTTAAACAACATTCAAAAAAACAAAATAAAAGCACGAGTTATTTAATTTAATTCCTGTTTTAACCTTTACTACACATGTATGCTATTTTTGCATCATGCATTATCATTTCTACGCATAATATCTATTTCACATTTTTGTTCACTTATCCTTTTTTTATATTAAAATAAGTTTTCTTTGAAACTAGGTTCGTTTCACTTGCTCCATCTAATGTTTGATGACTACGTGTTGTATCTAGTGGAAAATCTGTACAGCGAAGAGAGGTCTAAAGATTTTCTGAGACACATCAAAGGGGAAATTACAGGTTTTGTTTTTTATACAGACCTTGTCTAACTTGTTAAAAAAAATATTTCAAGAACAGTATTTTACACAAAAATGAATTTAGTCATTTTGGTCGTTATTTCTCCTTTACATTGTGCAGCGTTGCAATATTGTTGGTATATGCATTGTACATAGGACTTCAGGTAGCGATAGGTGGTTTAAAAGAATAAATTAAACTTGCAGATCTGACGGACGATGAGCCATTACCCGACTACAGTATAATTAAAGAAGCTTTCATGGCATCTGAACCGAGAGAATCTCCAACAGAAACAAATATGGAAGTTATGGAAAGGAGTGTCTACAAGAAAAATATTGGTAACAAATAATCTCATCAAGAAGTTCAATTTAAAATTGTATTGGTATTTGTCTTGTCATCAGATTTTTTTAATGATAATTTTAGAATTAATAACTCAGTTGTCAAGTATATTTAAAAGGAAATGAAAGAGCAACAATTTCTCCAAGAACTCAGTTTCAAACTTCGACTTATGAATGCACTCACTCCACTTCTGAAAATCAGAGAATATCGCTTTCGTAAGTTTTTTTCCCCAGATATTTAAACAATGTTTGAGAATATTTTAAATCTACATACCGACATCATTGTGATGCGATTCATTCTACATAATTCTACATAAATCATGATTTCTTTTTATTTTGATCGTATTTGTGTGGGGGTTGGGGGTTGAAGAAACAAATTTGAGGAACGATTATGTTTCGAAACATATTATGTGGTTGAAAAAAAATCCACGTCTTTTTTTTAAATCTATTTATGACGGTAAGGGATATCCACAAAAACCTATCATTTAAATGATACATTCTAAAAAAAAAGTAGTTGAGTTGAAAATCTTTTAATCGTAGATTACGTATATTATATTACATTAACATTTTTTTGGCATATTTTTTAGAAAACAAGTTTACCATTCGCGGAATTTTATGGAGTCTGGTATATATTATGGAAAACCGTGTAACCACTCCAATGATCAACAGGTAAGAAACTATCTGTAAAAAATCACCATCCAATTAAAACATTATATATCTTATATCCCTTGCTTGGGAGTAAATTCACACTGGTAATATTATTTAGGAAAGTCATACTTCTAATTTGGTCAAAGATCATGGAAATTCATTTTTGACTTTCTGAAAAAAAATTATCATATAAGCAATTTTAGAATGAAAAAGTATTTCTCTTTAAAATCATAGGATACCCAAAATCAGGGAAAAAGTGGTGTGTTTAGCAAAGCATCTGTATTTCTTTAATTTTAGATTCAAATAATATTTTATATGGTAAAGCATGGAAAATTACTCTAAATTTATGTTATATTTGTGGAATTTCATTTTTGTTTAGTTTTTTTCATTAAATTTCAGTGTAGATATAAACGTATATAATAAGGGAGAATGAAAAGAAATAAGGCTGGTTTGATGGGAAAATTTTATGATAAATATGCATTTTAGCATTAAATAAGCTCGTACAAACTATATTTTACAAATTTCTATAACATATATTTTGAGTATCTTATTTCCTTAAGGTATTCAATTGTTCAAATACGTACATTGCGACTGAGATGTGTAAGTTTTTATTCTGTTCAATAGATATCTGGTACACATTCTAACAACAACGCTATGTCTACCGAAGTGAATTGCTTCAATCAAGACCAGACTTATGAAATGAACAATCACAATTCTTTTTTCATGGAATTACCAGGCAACAGTATCTCCGAACACAATGGTTACACAACACAGTTTGTATTTTTTATAGTCCTTTTAGAAGACTTTTAAAATCCATTATTTCATGCAATTAACAAATTTAAAATGTCACCAAAGTTCTAAATTGACATTTAATTTTCAAGAAAATATAAAGATCTAAATGCATTTCTTGAAGTTATTTTTTAAAAATGCAATTTTTAAATAAATACATGTTAAACAACGTGTTGAAATATCATCGTATCATAGAAAATTCAGTCTTAACTTTCATAATGCACTGCAATTTAAATTTCAGTAACGACGAGTTTTCATTCCAACGTTTCTTCAAAAATGATCAAAACGGACGAGGAACGTTTAATCAGCCAACTGAAAGAGGAAATATTACACCGGATGTTATGTGTAACTATGGTTACACCACTGGACATTGCTATGGTTACCACTCGTCATATACGAGCAGAAGGTATCGGATGGTGGATGCTCCAGAATGATTTCAATAATGTGGATGAATTATACATGTAGAAAATTTGAAATAAAGATAATAAATAATTTGTTTATTGCATTGGAAAGAAAATAAATCCATTACTTTCACAGATGATTTATTTCTATCTAAAAAAGCATATATTTGGGCATTTTATCATACAATTTAAGAACTCTTGTCTTGAATACGTCCCTAACAAACCAAATGCTTTTCAATACAAAATAAGCTGAATTCCATTTGTGGAATGCCTTGGAGAAACAATGAATCAAATATGGTCTAAACTATAAAAGATATGACAAAAGTTAGTGCTTCTTTTTTAATACTGGACTTATGGTCAGTGCTGTGTGGATTGTTTGCAAATCAAACACACCCAGTAAAACCCAAATGTAAGCAATAACAGTCTCATACCCATGTTTACAAATACATGTATTTGTTGAAATTGTTGATGAATGCCATTTTCATAAAATATTAAGAATTTTCATCATGTAAGATCAATTCCTTTAACTGAAGTAATTTTTTAAATGGAGAATATTTAAAAATGTACCTAAAACAGGAATATAATTGAGTTATTGCCCCATTTAAACATAAAATAATATAACTTAATCAAACATTGCTAAATACATGTACTTAAGTAAATAGAGAGAACATTCACCTTATCTTCTACTTATTATTGAATTTGAAAAAAGAACAACAACAAAAACATCTTGATTATAGAAAACACAATATTTTTATAATTTGAACATCAAAAATAATAATGACAAATTATACATATGAAGAAAACGAATAGGTCTAACATAAAATGAATTTAATAATAATAAGAATCCTATCACCACAATACGATCTCTGTAGATAGAAAATAAAGTTGAAAAATAAGTTGAAATTCAGGGCAATAACTTTCAAATTATTAGTACAACATAATATATGCAGCTTGACAATCTTAGCTAATTAAACCCTGTTAAAGTATTGAGCAGCTGAAGATCTATTAGATTTGACAATGTAAATCAAACTAATATTCAATTTTACGTTCATTAGCTTTCTCCTCTTTTTTTACGCATGGATCTTCCTTTTCATCTTCTTACAAATTATATCACCTGCTACCACAGCCGCTATAAGAATAAGTAAAGCTATTACGATTCCAATGATAATACCAATGTTGCTGTTGGACTTTGCAGGGCTGCTGTCAGTGGTAAATGTTGCAAAAAGTAAAAATGTGAAAGTTAGAAAATTTAGATAGAGATAGCATATGTTGACGTCACTATGCTTTTTACTATTCTCTGTATTTCTTTTTTTTTAACATGTCTTCTTGCTTTTTGAATTTGAGTAATTTAGTTTTCTTTATCATTTTTAACCATTCTTTTTAAGCAGATTTTTTTTTGGCACGCCTTAATCAAAGAACTTGAAACCTCATACCTAGGTACGTTTTCATCAAATATCTGTTTTGTAAATTTGGATTTCTTCTGCCATGGCAACAGGCTTTAACGTTGTCAAAAGTTGTAAAAAAAAAAAAAAAGTTATTTATAATTCTGCAGAATGGCTTAGTACAAGGACAAAAAATGTAAATGACCATATAAGAAGGAATGACGTCCTTTAAAGTGGGGATGGAATCTTGTCCCTAGATTTCTGACCAATTTAAATATTTGTTTGCATAACTTTTCTAAATATCAAAATGTTAGGCAACTTAAAGATTATATTTTCTTTTCTCCTTTAAAGTAAACATCTTGGCACAGAAATGATTAAAAAAAAGTCTTGTAGCATTAAAAAAAAAAAACTAAATGTAATTCATAAATAGGAATAAAAAACAAATGAAATAAATATTTGAAGTCTTATTTTCGAATCAAACTACAATTTGTTGGCTTCAGTAAGAGCAGGTTTCATTGAAAAATCAGTGAAGATCTTTCTTTCTCTCTTATTTTTGAGTGAGTATGTTTGCTTTTCTATCATTTTGAATTTCTATACGAACTCTTCACCAAGCATATATCAAGAAGACAAGTATAAATATGCATGCATGACGCGTAAAAAGAATTAGCAATATACATTGAAACATTATCACTTAATGTATTATTGAATCTATGAAAATTTCATTAATTTAATTCAAAATTACAATATCTCATTTTAAGACAATACAAATGAAACAAGAGGATCATGAGCTCACCTGAGCACATTGGCTAGGCTAGGAAAATTCATAAATCAGTTCAGCATTGAAAAGTTTACGTTGTTGTTGGGGGGGGGGGGCTTGAATATTACACTACCTGAGGATGCGTCTATATCAATATAACAATTGGCTTCGCTGTCCTTGGGAAGAAAATTTTAAAAGATTTTTTTTCCTCTATATTCCTTTGAAAAAAAAAGATACCCCATTCTGCCCCTTCCCTACCCCCGGGGGGTCATGATTTGAACAAACTTGAATCTACACTACCTAAAGATGCTTCCATATCAATACGACTAAACATGGCTTTTCTGCTGCTCTTGAGAAGAAGATTTTTTTCCTAAATATTCCTATGTTAAAATTTGATCCCAATATGTGTTATGGGATTATGATTTGAAAAAATCTGAATCTACACTATCTGAGGGTGCTTCCGTATCAATATGACTATAATCATGGATTTGCTGTTCTTCAGAATATTTCTAAAAGATTTTTTTCCTATACACATGTACATGTATATTCCTGTGTAAAACTTTGCTCCCCCATTGTGGTCCCCCCTATCCCCATAGGTCATCAATTGAACAAACTTGAATCTATGAATCTACGCTATGTAAAGAAGGTTTCCTGTAAGTTTCAACTTTGTTGGCCCAGTGGTTCTTGAGAAGAAGATTTTTAAAATATGCCAAAAAATTTTCACTATTTCTGATTTATCTTCCCATGAAAGAGGGTTTGGCCATTCATTTGAACAAACTGGAATTCCCTTCACCCAAGGATGCTTTTTTGCAAGTTTGGTTGATATTGGCCCGGTGGTTCTGTAAAAAATTACAGACAGACTACAGACCAACTGTGATCAGAAAAGCTCACTTGAGGTTTAAGCTAAGGTGAGTTAAAAAGGACATCAGAGAGATTTAGATCTTTACAATGGTTGTATACAAGTATTGAAGAAAATATTGAAATAAACAATAACTCTGATTTTATTATTTTTGGCCTCAATCCTTTGTATAAAAGGGTACACAGTAATAAAAAAAACACATCAAAGATCCTTGATGACAGGATTATTGTTGCATTAAAAAGTAGGAATAAGTTATTAAATTATAACAAATGAATCACGATTCGTTTCTAGATGCTAGCCAATAATAAGACGAAATATAAACTTTTAATGGTTTTACTATACCCTCCGCTTTAAGGTGTATTGTATTTGGGGTGTTCCTCCGTATACCCGTAACACTTGGGATACTCTAGCATGCTAGAGGTGCACGACGATGGCACCTGATTCCACCTCTAATTATATTTTGAGGTCCGTGTCTGTTCTGCTCCAAATTTGTATCGTTTCACTGGACTTTCGAGATTGAATACTGTTCGTTATCTTCATATTTCACGATATACCGGTACTTTTGACTTGGCGCCGCATAGTGGCGAGTGCTAGGTAAGAAAAATATTTCATCTGGCGGCTGCCAAATAATTTTCTGCCGGCCGCCATATAACTGTCTGGCTTACGCCAAATAATTTTCTGCCGGCCGCAAATATATTTTTGTGGCGACCGCCAGATAACTATTTGGCAACCGCAATATAATTTTCTAACGACCGCCACATAAAATTCTGGCGGCCTCCAGATAATTATATGGCAACCGCCAGATTAAGCATTTTTTTCTACTTGGCACGTAC